TGGCATAAGAAAACCAAAAACTGGCATCATTCTTGACTTTTCTCATACTGCACATCTAATCTATTAACAAATGCTATCAGTACCAATTTCAAATATATCCAGAGTTCAATCTCTTTTTGCCACCCCTTTTCACTCATGCATACTGGTGTAAACCACCATCTTTATATATCCAGAATTTAGAAACTTCTCCCTCCACCAGTACCACCTGGTCTAAGCCCATATCGTTGTTCTGGGTTATGAACAATACCCTCTTCCTGGCCTCTTTGTTTCCATTTTCCCCCCCAAACAAATACTTCTCATTCTGTAGTGAGAGTAATCCTTTAAAAATTTCAGGTCAGATCATTTTACTTTTCTTCTTCATAACCATACATTAGGTTTCCTACCTCTCTTGGGCCAAAGCCAATGATGTGGCATCATGTTACGCATTTATCACATTGCCTACATTATTCCCACTTGTCCAATTTCCCTGTTTCACTTGCTTTCTGTTATTTCTTGCACGTCAGGCAAGCTCTGCCTCCCAGGGCTGCGCTGGTCATTTCCTCTGTCTGAAAATTTCTCTCTCCAACTCTTTACCCCAGACATCCCCATAGCTCTTTCTAACTTCCTTCATGTATTTATTTACATGATCACTTTCTCAGTAAATTCTTTTCAGACCCCCCTATTTAAAATTACAATCCTGCTCCTAACTCCTATGCCCTCTTTCATAAAAGTGGGGATTATTGTCTCTTTGGTTTTTTTATACTGCAGCCCTAATTCCCAGAACACGTAACAGAAGCACAGTAAACAATAATTACAGTATCAACAGCCAACTCATGCAGTGCTAATATTCTAGGTACTTCTAAACAGGTGACGTAAATTAACTCACTTAATTTTCCCAACAGCCAATGTGGAGAAAGAGGACTTCCCATTAGAGTAATGAAAAGAGGCCAAATATTCCCTCTCCACAGAAAACAAGTATAAAGTTGGAAAACATTAACAAAAATGACTATTCCATCACACTGAAAACCAATCAAGGCAACACAACAATTTGGGAACTGATTATTCTTGAAAAATTTCTTGAGATTCAGGTAAGAACAGAAGGAACCTTTAATGACCTTGCCTGGAGCAATTCCTAACCCCTACTGCCAACTCCAGCTGAGAATGGCAGCAGAAACCAGCTTTGCTGCCAGAGGTAGTAGATTCAATTTGGGATGGGAGGAGAAGGCAAACCCCCCTGGTTTCTCCAACATAAAGTGGTGGATTTAGTTTAGAACAAATGGGGAAAACCCACAGCTTTGCAAGTCTGAGACTGCAGTCTAAGTTTGGGGTAACTGGTAGACCAACAGGATTTAACAGAAAAACCCTAGGAATCAAAGAGATAGGTCTCCACAGGCTATCTGAGGAACATCCCTGGCTGGCTGAGGCACTACACATACCTGGAAGAGACCTTGAGGGAGCCTTCCTGCACTAGCTTGATTTTTCAAAACAATGTTAGAAAGCAGTCATCGTCATATTCTTGAACTTCAAGGATATATTTTAAATTTTTGTTATTAAATTTAAAGTCTGTATTTTTAGAACTTTAAAAAAAATCAGTTACAAAATTTTCTAAGGTTTCTGTGTTTTTTGGTGGACAGGTAAAGTTATTGATTAACTTCATTGTTATCGACTATTGATTATGCATTTAAATTTTTATAATTAATCATGAAAATAATAGGAATAAGGTACAAATGCTTCAAACCACAAAGGAAATAAATTGGAATGGAAAAAAAAAACCTCAAGCAGTAAAAATGAAGGCTAGAAAAGGTGGAAAACAGAAATAGTAGGTTAAGAATATTACTCTGAATTTTAAGAATTTTTGACATGAATGGATATTGAATTTTCTTGAATGATCTTTCTACATTTCTTGAGAGCTTACATTTCTTCCTTTTATCATTAATATGGTGAGTGGCATTAATAGAATTTTTAAATGTAAAACCAAATTTGAACATCTGGCATAAACCTGATATGGTAGTAAATTCAGTCTGTAAACCCATGAAATTCCAGTAAAGGAAGGCAGGTGCCCACAGGAGAGATTCTGGCTCCAAAGTTTCTGAATTTCTCTGAATTTCTGTTTTATCTTTATTTGGACAGGTTCTGAGGTCATTAATTTCTTTTCAGCAATATTTCACTCAGGATTTTTAGCTGTTTTTACCATGAGATAGTTCTTTAAGTTTATCTAGTTCACCATTGCATTGGAAATAGAAATCAAGTGTGCAATTTTGTAAGTAAAGAAAATTGGATATTATTTGCTTCACTCAAAATATGCATACTATACATAAGTATTCCTTGATGATTGTATTATCAAAATGCTCTATGATTTTAGTTTGCTTAAAGCCAGACTGCCTGTGTTCAACCTTGGCTCTACATTTTCTAACTGTAGGACTGAGTTATTATTACTCAATTCCAGAAAGTGTAAATTGAGGATTTTATGCAGGTCTAAAATTTACCTCTGTGTGTAACACAACATTCAATAAAGCACAGTGCCAGAAAGTTTATTAGAAAGGGAGCAACTGCAATCAGCCCCTAATCCAATTCGGACAGAGTTTCCCTTTACAACAAATAGGTTCCAGGTGACGGGCTGACACTGGGGGGACACTGTTGTTTACTTTAGTTGAAAATTTTCTTAGAAGAGCGTGTGTTTTGGTCAATTGGATTCTATGGATTCATTGAAGATAAATTATTTCAACTCAATTTTTTCAAATTGTCTTGGAAGATATGGGGCAGTATACTAGGATGCAATGGGGAAAATCTTGGGTAGAGAATCAGAACAGTTCTGGCTCTGGTGCTTAGAAGCTGTGTGAGCCTCAATTTCTATCCGTATAAATGAGGATAGTAACTTCTACTTCAGAAAGTTGGTGTAGGAGGAAATAGGATAATACATGTAAAATGCCTGGCACATAGGAGGGACCTCAGAAATCTTGTTTCCCTCCTCTCTTCCTTCCATTGACGAGAAATCTAATATATTTATTTGTTTTCCTTTCTGAATGAATATATTCAAAGTGAAGTTTAGCTTTAATTAATTCTTGCATTCAAAACCACATTCAGTAAATGATTTTAAACCACCTATAACATGTCAGGGACATGCTAACCCTGAGAAAATAATGACAATAAAATAGATATTGTTCCTGCTATTAAAGAGCTTATAGCCTATTGATTTGTATCTTCTAGTGCTTTAGGGTTTGTATCTGGCGTGTAATTTGTCCATACAGAGGGAAAACTCTAGTCACTTGCAGCCTCCAGTTAGATGGGCCTGACAATATTTTAGGACTGTTATTTGGGTCTTGTATTGTGTTAGGTGTTCTACTGAGTGACATGATGTAGTATTACAAAGACCCTGTGTGAGGGCCAGGATTGGCTACATAATCACAGGGCCCAGTGCAAAATAAACATGAGGCCCGACTCAAAACTATTAGGAATTTCAAGATGATGATAGTAGAGTATCTAGCTAAGCACAAGCCTTTCTGAGTTTGGGGGACTGTGTGATTACACGGGTTATACCTCCAGGAAGTGATCCTTGTAATGACTATATAGAGCCACAGAGGCTTGGGAAATTCCTTTAATTAAGATCAGACTTATGTGGCTGGGAAAATGTGAACTGCAGAATCAGATGAAGGCATTAGATTGGTATTTCTTTTGTTTTTTAATAGCAGAGGTGGAGAAATACTGTGACACCATCCAGGATTAACTACTTAATTACACAAATATGTACTGAGTGCCTGGGACATGCCCAGCACTGTGCTAGGAGCGGAGGACACCCTGGGAAAAACAGGAGACAGTGACCCGACTTTTGAGGACGACAGGTTCCCATGTGGAAGACAGATAATAAATAAGGAAGCAAATACATGTCACTGATTGTGGACTAGTGACATCACTTTGAAGTAACTAAACTGAGTTCAAACAGGGAAAAACAGGACAGAGGACATAATTTTTAATGGTCAAGAAGGACCTCTTGGGGGGCGCTGTCTAGCATGGGGTTTTAAGGCACTGTGTTTGGAGAGAAAGAATGAATTCTGCTCCTTCACTTGCTATTTGTGGGATTTGAGGCGACTCACATAACTGTCCTCTGCCTCAGCTTCCTTATCTGTAAAACAGGGATAATAATAGTATATACCTCCTAAGATCCACGTGAGAATTAAATGAGTTAAGTACTGTGTTTTTCAAATTAAAAATAAAACACAGGCTTGCCAGTCAAGAAGGAATCAGCCTTTCAGAGAGCTCCAAGAGGAGACTTTCCGGCTGAAGAAACAACCATCGCAAAGGCCGTGGGGTATCACAGGAGCCTGCCAGAAGACCACTGTGCAGGGGCCACAGAGCAGGGGACAGACAGAGAGGAGACAGGGGCCAGATCTGGAATTTGAAAGCTAATTTCCTGCATGAAAGGTAATGACTGACACTAACTCACATAACTTGGAAACCAGAAAGAGTAATTAATCCGAAACAAAACCATATCAGAAATAACAAGAGCTAGCTTCCCATGTGTCTTCTTTGGTAACAGATTACAAACAATTTTTCCAAACTCATGAGTGAAACTATCAGCCAAAGAAGTAATTTAGGAAAACCGAAAAAAAAAAAATAAAAAAACGAAAACACCCAAATCTCTGACAGTAAGTGTTACACCCCTAATACAACACAAAAGCTCCTTGGAAAGCCCACAGCACAGGATCAAAAGCACCTCTAGAAATGGACAAAAGGTGGTTGCGCCACGTACAGTTTTGTTAGTTTTATTGTCCCATTCTTCACATCCACTTCACCGTCACCCATGTCAATACTTTTGCAGACCAGGTGGCACGAACAGAGCAGAATCTCTTTTTATCTAACAGAAAAACCAATTTTCTTATGAATCAACAAAAGGTAGCCAAATTCTAAGTACCTCCAAAGGCTTGCATCTTTTATAAAAGAAGAAATCTAGAGGAGAAAAAAGCCAACATCTCAGAGGAGTTAAGACAGGGAGAGATGGCAGGAAGGCTTTATAAAAACTGTACCTTGAGCAGCTAACTCTTTCCACCTCTCTTTGTTCTGCTGGATGATGTCGACCAGGTTGTTTTTGAAGCTCTTCAGGTCCACACTCGCAAGGGAGTAGTCTGGGGAGTAGGTTCCATCGTTCACGGTGCCTTTCATATTTGATCGTCTAGAGGAATTGGCAACATGTGATCCCATAGAGGTGCTGGAACCAACGGTAACCACCAAAGAAACCAGAAAATACTAAGGGCAGGATATAGGATGAGGGAGCAAAGCCTGAAATGCTTTACAAAAGCAGCCGGAGAAGCAGTATGTCAGGTGCTCAGGCCCCGTTTTAAGCACGTATCAGTGCTGCTAACCTTCCTTCCTTCCTCCCTCACAGAGAGGGCTTAGGGATCTGACTTGGATTCCTGGGGCAGCAGGTCAGGGCCCACAGTGTTATAGGGGGTGAGGCCTAATGAGAGCTGCATAACCTTGAGATGAGCATAACCTTGGTGGTAAGTCCACTGGTAAATTCACCAGCTGGAGCTCAAAGTAGGATAATGGTATCTGCCCCTCCGTCCACTGTGTAATCTCTAAGCTAACCTGGATCTTCCTCAGGGAGAACATTCCCTGCTTCCTCATTACAGCAACATTTAGGGAGCCTGTTGGTGTGCTATTAGGAAAAGTGTGTGTTCAGTTGGGCAAGAATTTAGCATGATTTTTCTGCAACTGACAGTTTTAAATAATATCCCTTAAATTTATCAGTGATAAAAATCTACCTTGAAATACTTTAACTTGTGTATACAATGGACTTTGCTGTTACATGTTATACAGATCTTCTGTATTCATGTCATCTAAGTGGGTAACTTTGATGTAGGCATCTTTGTAGTCACATAAGTGTTATATGTTAGCAAATCAACACAATGCCCCTCTCCCAACTGCTCACCACTATTGGATATGTTACTGTATCCAGGACACAATCCATACATCTCAACAAAAATTCAAATAATTTTATTCTCCTGAGTAGTGAATATGATTCTTAATACTTTGATATTTTTTGTAGTGAATGTCAAGTTCCCAATTTCAAAGGCAAATGCAATATAATATGTAGCCACTAGGTGGCAATACTACCTAATAATTCTAAGAATTTCC